GGAACGAAAGACTCAAAATTCAAATGAATCGAATCGACTCAGAAGAGACCTGAATGAATGCATGCGTGTCACCTGATCCACAAATGCACATTTTAATCGCTACATGCACAAATCATGATACTTTAATACAAACTATAACATTTGTATTCACAAATATGTCTCTATTTGAACAAAATGCTGCACATTAATGTAATTCTTAACTCTGCAGACTTAACTCTGCATTAATGAATTGCACTGGGCCTTGTTCGTTGGTAGTTGTGTGTGTGGGGGACGTGAAATGCTGTAAATTGTATGAAGTCTCAAAATCCAAATGAACTGAACAAGATCGACTCGAACTTGACGTCAATTAATGCACACGTGTCACCTAATCCACATATGCACGGATTCCTTTTTGCATGAGCAATTTATGATATATTAATGAATAACAACATTTTTATTCGCAAACATGTCTGTATTTGTACAAATCGCTGCACAATCATTTAATCCTGAATTCCACAGACTCAAATTAAAAGGCATTTGTTTGTGGTTAGTAAGATACATGTATAACGTTTATGCAGTACATGGATAATTGTGCGTGCATCTATTAATCATTTTGAGTCTAATATCATCCCATAGTTTGCTCCATGTGCAGTTTACACGAGGTTGTTTCTAGTTGAATTGTAGATAAGCAGAGAGTTAGGATTTGACTTATTTGGACGTTTCAAACCACATGCATTTTCACTTCTACAAAAGATTTGGCAGTGGCAATACAGACCTAACTATAAAACCAGCTGATGGCAATTGAAATATAATGCACCCCAAGCTGGTAAGTGAACCACCTTGCCATCAGTCATCGCTATGTATTTGATTGCTGACTCATATCCTTTGCCTCGGTTTGAAAAGCGTTGTTAACAGAATAAACAAACAAGTCAGGATAAACAAAAACGTGACTCAATGCAAGTGAAAGCCTTTAGCTAATATACATACATCTAAAATATTTTTTATGTATCTATACCATTTAAGGGATCAACATGTTATTTAATGTAATTCACTACAGCACATTTTTATCTTTGTCTTCTATTTATTCTTCAAAATAGGTGATATTTCCACAATAAGATTGAAAGCATATACCTACGTCTTTGCACAAGAGTTTGGTCACTTGTGGTTTTTAATTGAGTCCATGTGGAAGTAAAAGTGGAACTTCTAACCAAATAGTAGTTATCCCTTTTTATGTATAAGCACTTGCTTTGTCAGAAATGGCCTGTCTCTTGCATGAATAATGAGCATTTAATAGAGAAATATGACTAACACTTGTGACATTAAAAAGTATCCTGTAATTTGCTTTGGAAAAAACGTGTCTGCTAAAGATCGAGTAACCAAGCAACTCCTCTAGGCAAAGCCAAAGGCCACAATTTATGTTATTACATTGTGTAATGGCTGACTGTATGTGTGCGTCTCTTATTAAACATTACAACACTTTAATGGAAAAAGTTTGGCATTAAACGCTTGCAGTGGCTTTTCTATAATTAGTGGTCTGGTTGTTTGCCCAACAATTCTATCACGTATCTAACCCGCAGCATTGCTGAATCTTTATAAGTGTAAATTTAGTTGTGCAATATATCACATTTAAATTGAAGCACGAAGAGCTTTCAAACTATGTAAACAGTAATTTTTTATGATCTCTTTTGCTGTGCATTAATCAGTGTCACGAGGGGCTTCTGTTTGTCTTTATAAGTGTGGAAATTGGCTTGCTTTAAAAAAATAAAAAAAAATCAAATTGCCTTGGTCCATCGGCTGTTAGTAAGTGGAAACCATGAAAGAATCCCCTGTTTTTGTTCCCAGCTCAGACCCACTGGGTGATTTGAGTGGTTGGGTAGAGAGTAGGACATTGCTTTGGAGTTAGTCACTGCAGGAGAGGCTGGGCTCTCTTCCAGTTGGCCTGACGGCTCTATCAAGGAAAGGCCTGGGTGGAGCTCGCAGTTCACGGTGCGCTATGTGCGGGCTGAGAGATGGTGTGCGTGTAGTTTCTCATTGTACGAAGGGCGTGTCCCCTACTTTGGATTTGCGACGTTTGCCATCTGTGTTGTGCCTAGGGATATGCCGGTATCAAATTCTCATGTTGCGATTAATTACTAATGCTTTTATCACGATATTGAAATTTAGTTTTAAAAAAAGTGCTGTCATAATACAGTATAACAGGTTTAATAACATTTTTCTCATAACAAAAATAACTGAACATTTAAATGCAATAAAGCAATACAGAAAAATGTATAAAGTTAAAAGTTTTACACAGATTAAAGTGCAAAAGAACTATAAAGACTATTTACATCAGAGTGCGCACACGTCTTTCACGCAGCATACAGCGGTGTTGTGCATTTTGACCAGTTTATGGGAAAAGTATTCTTAAAATGCATTCAAAATTCTAAATAATTTGTAATATATAATTATTCACGGTATTTAGAAGTGCCCACGCTAACAATATCGTGCATATTCATTACCCTGATATATGGCATTACCGAATACTGCACAAGTCTAGTTGTGCCATAAACTCTTCTCTTTTTAGAGTTGCACAGTTGTTGCCATATGACTTCTTCCAGATAGAAGCGTTGAGGTGTCGTCTGACACATTTAGACCTGTCATTATGGTCGCATTTTGTTCTAGTACCAGTCTTTCTCATGCACGACAGTATAAAATATAAATAAGTGTGCTTATTCTGTGAAACTGAGCTTTTTTAAAAGTTAGATGGCATTCTTTAACTCTTTTTGAAATTCAATATGTGCAATAATTTGTAAGTAATTATCGTAAATCTTGTTTGTTATGTTTAGCTAGCTCCACCTTTTGTGAGGTGACAGCAAACTTGATACAACTAAGTGCAGGCCTCGTAGATGTCACCCGTTTGAGTGTACACAGCTGCTCTGCCAAATGTTGTTCTTTGCAAACAGTGTGACAGCCTCGTCCAGACTGGTCTTTATCAGAGCGAGCCTATGACTATTTCAGTCACAGCTCAGAAATAACCATCCGTTAATGAAACTACTGGTTAGTGAGAGGTTCTAGCAGTGGTTTCCAAATAATAGACGAGAAGTTGTAACCAGCAGAGAGAGAGAAAGAAATCTTTCCTACTTGCGTGACCCCACAAACCTGTGAAGAGCTGTTTATCTCAAAATAGCTGGTCCTATTCAAGACATATTGTGCACAGGGAGTGCAAACCCCTCAAGTGAAGTGAGGTACTTTGATTATAGTTAGGGTAAATATACAGTTTTCTTGGGGCAGCTTTAAATGACCACTTTTGCTGTTAGCAGTTATTTTCTAGCAAAGTCAGTAACAGTGGAATAGTAGCGGGGAGAACTGATATCAGGGCAGGTCCCCGCAAGCATGTACCTGTCTGCACCGATTCCAGCATTTGTTTCTAGTGCTAGTGTTACGTGAAGTCTTTTCATGCTTTTCTGCTGTAGGGAAAACCTCTCAATTTCAAGTAGCCACATCTGTGATCCGACCTAAGTCGGAAGGTTTTAGTATTTTTTTATTTATTATATTGGTCTCACTGAAAGCCCATTTCATTGCTCTTTTTCATAGTGTTCACAGAAATGCACATGTATCTTGTCTTGCCATGCATCATTCCTTTAAAGGCCTAAAAGACATGTTTATGAAACGAAACACATTCCTAACATTTCTCTTGCCTAGACTGAAAGGCTTAAAAGGGATATCTCTTTGTCCTCAGCCTCCTCCATGCAGAAATGATCAAATGCTCAATTGGACGAGAAGCCACGGGACAGCTTCGAAGGCCATGAAGTGTGAAGGACAACAGTTTACAGATTTAAAGAATGTGCATGAGAACTGATGGCACTTGCACTTTCAAGTTTCTCTTCATAATGCCCTTCTGAGTTATGGGAGTATTATATTTGGTGTTTCATAAAAAGTCACTTGATTTAGTGACTTGAGTGTGTTATCAGTTTTGGGTAATTAGAGAAGTACATTATTAAAGCAAATACTAAGTGGAGCAAATATTGAACTGCTTGACAGAGAGGAATTATTTACCACGTGAAATAATTTTCTCTTCATGTGTAAGATAAGGGTGGATAATGAAGTTTGATAATTTGGTTTGTGTGAAATTAATTTGCGTAGTTCAGCCTCTAGTGTCTTCGGCCATACCATGTGACTTCAGGAGATTTTAGGCGATCAAATGAGGATTTGCACATGCTGTTTCCTTTCCTGTGAGAGAAACTTACTTGAACTTTATTTTGCTTGTGGCAAGTGACAATTTCATGCCATTGGAATGATTACTATGAATGGCTTGCAACATCTCACGTTTTTAGTTTACAGTCACCTTGAATTGCTTCTTGACATCAAATGTTGCACACGGAGACCTATGTGACAGTGTGGGAATTTAACTCTCACTCATATGCGTTTTTAGTTTAAGACAACTAAAAATCTGATGATGATATGTGAGAAGCCATTTCATTCTTTCTGTAGCTGCCCAAACAGATTCCCAGTGTTTAGAGTGCAGGGTGGATTTGGAGTTTATTTTGAGGGAGTGATGCTGTTAATTGTGTTTAACAATAATTAGTTATCGGACTTGAAATTTAAAGACAAATAAAAGTAATTGTGACTTTCAGAAGTCAGTCACAATTATTCAACAGCAACATCCAGAGGAAACGTTTAAGCTTGTGCAGACACATCTGTCTTTGGTTCTTGCAAAGGAAAACTCCCCGTTTTGTGCGCTCGTATTGTAACTGTTTCAGTCAGTTCAGTCGCCCTCTTAGGGCAAACCAAAGTATAAAGCCAACTAGAGTGGCGCTGCATTTTTGAAGTCAGTCTTATCCACTAGCTTAAGGTCTCGAAACCATGCAAACAAAACTATTTTTATTAAGAGCTTTTTACTTTAAAAGATGAAAAAGTGGGACTTGAGTTGAATGTACATTTTGTAATTGATGGTTTTGGATTGTTTTTTTCGTCTGGCTATTTGATGCATTGAAATATTTACTTATAAATATTACCTCTGATCTCCCTCTGCTTTCTTTAAGAATATAAAGGAAGACGGGAGAGAGTTTGAGCATTAGCCTTGGCAATTCAGTAGGTCCCCTTATCCTCCCGGAGTTAAAGTAAATCTTGCAAGTTATTTTATTCAACTATTTGTTTGGAATGTTAATGTTAGATACATTTTTACAGCGCAACCAAACCTGTTAAAACTAATATGATTTATGATTTATATGAAAACATGGTACATTCTAAATTAGTTGTTTGTGTTAATAACTTCAGCAATGCAGATTACTTTTTGGACTTTAGAATTAGGCTACTTGAATTTAGATTTGAATTCATTTTAATGTTAATCATAAATTCCACCTTGAGGATTGCACAATGCACAATGCTACCTACTGTGAACACTGAGAAACATGACACTGCTCATGCACATTTGCCTTGTCAGTGCTGTCAGACCAGCCGTTAAGAGCTGCTTATTCCCTGTGCCACAATCCTGCTTGTCAAGACTTTGGTCTTGACAGTTATCAAAAGCACTGCAAAGATGCATGCTTGAAGCAGCATATTTGATTATATCTTAAATCTGATTGGTTGCGCAGATATCTTGGACGCTCCTAGTAAAGTTAGACCATCTCAGAAGGTGCTCTGAGTTTTTAGTGTGATTAGTTTATAACATGCATAAAACATCAGCTATAAGACTAAGCAGAACCTTCTACCAATTAGTTACTTTGACAGTGGATTAAACGAAAGCATAAGCAGTAATGCCCACTTGTCTTTCAGCAAGAATTGCTGGGTGTATGTTGTGTCACCGTTAAGGTTTATAATGGGTTCCCTCCACTTTTCAGATCCTCTTGGTCCTTTTTTGCAACAGTAATTAAAATCTGGGGTTTTCCTTTTTCTAGTTTTGTTTGAATCTTACACTCTCCAGTATGATGCTCTTTATTGCTAGACCTCAACGCTTGGTCTGCTTAAAAGGTCCTCATTACAACTCAACAGTTCACAAAGATGTGTTGTATTTCATTGCTGATGTCTTATGATTTCACAAACACTGGAGGTATTATGAAGTGTATGCTTACATGGATCATAGCAGATCATATGATTTTGGGCAAGAGCCATCTGCTTTAAAGTGACGTGACATGTGGCCAAGCATTTAACCCATCCAAAGTGCACACACCCGGAGCAGTGGGCAGCCATTTTTGCTGCGGCGCCCGGGGAGCAGTTGGGGGTTCGGTGCCTTGCTCAAGGGCACCTCAGTCGTGGTATTGAAGGTGGGAGAGAGCGAGTACATTCACTCCCCCCCCCACCACCTACAATCCCTGCCCGGTACGAGACTCGAACCCACAACCTTTGGGTTACGAGTCCGACTCTCTAACCATTAGACCCCCCCCTTTAAGCAGCCAAAGGATAGCTCACTTATACAAAGAAAGATAATCTGTACTATACTTGGTGTCAGAGTTGTTTTGAGCTCAAACTCCATGGTTAAGAGAAAAGAAATATGTGCCTGCTTGGGCACAATTAATGTGTCATGCAGGCAATGGTTTAGTGGCATGTAATGTGCCTCTGCTGCTTCTTCGGTCCATGATTGTTCCATGTTTCAGTCATGGATGTACAGAATCAGATCTGCCTTATTTATCCTTTTTTTCCAGTTTGCTCCTCCGAAGGTGCACTGTGAAAAATCTGTCAGATTTGTGAGAACAGCCTCTGCGCAAATAGTATCGTTGATCATATAGGTTTAAAAAAGTGTAAAGGAAGTAGAACATAGTGGTACAGGATTGTTGATAGAGGGTGCTGGGTGTGGCATCACTTTAAGAGGCAGAACATAGAACAGACTGGGAGTGAAATAATAAGCTTTGGTCTGCTTGCTAGGGAGTTCTTAAGTACACAGCAATGTAGGTTTTCCCCTTCTCCTTTTGTAAATACCAGCTTTAGCCAACAATAAAAAGGCGCTTTTTTTAGGCTTGGGTTTCACAGCTTCCATGTCTTATCTGAAATTAAATTCAGAGTTAATATCTATTAAATGTAAAATATTGTGCATTACTCTGTCGCATACGTGATGTTTTGACTAATCCTTTTTTAAAGCATTTAGAATTTAAGTAGCATAAACAAAGTAGATGTAAAAATGAAACTAACACAGTAAAAATGGGTTAAATTATAGTAATGTTGATGTGTACTTTGAAAAGCTTTGTAATTTGTTGTTGCATGGCACAGGGTTGTCTTGTTTTCTCCTTAGTGCTGTTTATAATGTTAAGGCCATTTATCCTTTTAATATATGAATGCCTCTAATAGTGCTTTAGTATAAATAGAATATTTTGTGTACAATTCAGATGGATCACAGATGTTTTGTGGTCTGTGCTGTACTGCCGAGGGAAGCTTGATTAACTCACTCAAATGATCTGCTCTGTACTATCCTGTCTCTGGAGTACAATGGTCGACATGGACACAAAACCAGGCTTCTTTTACCCCAATGGGAAACATATTTAGTGGGAGGCAAGTGTGGTATTTATAATTTAGAGGGGAGAGAATGTTCTCATTCTAGAAATCACACAGAATTTCTCTGGTCCAATATAAATAATTGTTACATTTTAAATGCATAAAACTGTTCAACTTTAACAATATTTTTTAAATTAATGAATCACCATATATATATATATATATATATATTGCAATTCATTGATCGCTGCTGAAAGAATAAATACAAGATTTCAATTTACATTACTTCAAAAGTTGTATAATTAACTTTATTTATCATTAGCTTCATGAATGAATTTTTTTTTGAGTGTTTACATTCCTTCAGAAATCCACTAAGGTCAGGATCAGGCTTATTTCAGAAGAGAGTATACTTACTATTTTGAATCAAGAGAGCATTCGGATTACTTGAATAACTCATACATCCCACTAATTTTTGATCGCATGAGACGAAGCTTTTTCCATTTCTACATATTTTAATTATAAGTTGCGATGGATTCTTTTTTTTTCTTTTTTCAGTGGTATGTATTCTTTTTCATCTTACTTATATACACACACACACACACACACACACACACACATACATGTATGTGCTCTCTATGGCACTCTGGGATACTTTATTCTGACTGATCAATCATGTTATTGAGCAATCAAAAATTTTTGTGTAGTGATCATTGAATTATTTTTTTTGACTGTTGTCCAGTAGTATCAACATAATGATACTACTACTTGTATCATACTTGTCAGCAAAGTAGGACATGGGACAAATTGACTACACAGCACTTTACTTGAGTTGTGCTTAGCTTTTGGTATAACAAGACGTAGATTTTTTTTTCTTTGTCACTGGCAAATGTTTTCATAATTAAAATAAACTAGTGCCTCATTTGCCAATGTTTAGTGAAATATGCTTGTAGGTGTTTTCATATCCAAGAGGTCCAGTGTAATTGCAGGGTGGATGATTGTGAGGGGGTGATATCTCTGAAACAGAACTTTCTGTGTTGAAAGCTGGAATGGCAGGCCCACATGTCAGCTAAATAACTCTGAAGCAATGTTCATCAAGCAAAGACCTCCCAGTTCTACAAGCTACTGTCTGATTTTCATTTTATGGACATCAGATTTTTAGATATTTAGATATGTTTAATCTGTATATTAAACTGAGCTTAATGCATTTAGTGACAAGTTATTGCTCTTGTTGTAAAGCATTTTTCCCCATGCAGTTTAGTGCTTTGTATCAATGCTGGAGGAAATAATGGGATACAGATCCTCTGTTATTGCTTTCACTTTTTTTTGTTGGAGACTGTATTGCCATCTAGTGGTCACAGTTTGATACTTATTTACCACTATTAAAAAAAAAATCAACATTGTTTTTTTTTTTTTTAAATGAATGAACAACCTTAAATCTGTCTGTGAAAGCTTAATTTAAATTCAATACATTAACATTGTTTCTTTTTTTTTTTTTTGTATTAAGGAAAGAAGGGCTGGAAGGGCTGACACGGTCCACGCTAGGGGACAGGTGAAGAAGTAACACATTTAGAGGTATACAGAATGAATAGTTACATGTGTTATAGCTATGTGATGTTAATAGCTTCATGCAATTTACAGCAACGCACTGCAAACATTTTCAGGTACAGAGAAATACTAAGCACTTTTTTTTTACAGTTTATAAAGCTAATTGCTTTGCAGAAAAATTGCTTATGCTCATTTGAAATCATTCAACTTGAAACTATAATAGTCAACATATACCTCATATATTTGGCATTGTATAACAGTTACTATGTTTTACTGTGTTTTATTTTGTAATGTTTTATTTAAAATATATATATATATATATTTTTTTTTAAGATGGCTGATGAGCAGGACACAAGGGAAGTGCTTTTCCCACAGTGGATGGGCCCTGATAAGCATGGGCTCACCATAGAACAAAAAGGTCAAGGAGAGATTTTTGTCAAAGAGGTGAAAGATGAGTCCCCTGCTGCACATACTGGGAAAGTATATGAAGGTATGAAGTCAAAATAACCATGCAGGTTGTGACGTAATGTGCAAACATTTAGAAAACCTAATTTTCTAACGTTTCTAGAATGTTTTGATTCTCTGAACATTTGTCACTCCCCTTTTTGGTGTTGGATTATGCTCTTGTAGTTCCTCCAAATATAATTTATCTATTGTGAACCATTTAGTTTGAACTTACCATGTACTGCTCTTTGTCACAGGTGACCAGATTGTGGGGGCCACCATTTACTTCGACAACATGAGCTCAGAAGAAACATCTGAACTACTAAAGACTCTAAACCGACATAAGGTTGGACTAAAATTACAAAACAAGACTGGAGAAAAGTCACCTTGCCGTTCTCCAATGGGGACATTGTCATGGGAAGGACGTGGAGGGTTAGGAGGCTCTAGTTCAGACATTTTCCTGGTAAGGTGGCCTCAGTGTTGGTCTGTTTTATATTAGGCTATGAACATGTGAATCAGTAATTTTAAAGTGTTGTCATTCAGCATTGGTACCCATGTATAAGAACAAACATATAAAGTGTAGATTTTAGTATGATCAGTATTTCAGTATTTAACAAACAAATTTTTTACAGATTAAAAAATATATATATTTGTCTCTTACATAAATTTCACACAGAAATGGCATATCATGCTAATTTGTAATTTCCATTTCCTGTAGAGTGGGGATGACGAAGACTATAAGAGAATCTACACTAAGAAAATTAAACCTAGACTAAAGTCTGAGGATCTTGCTGAGGGTGTTGATGTGCGCACAGAACGTCACAGCAGCACAAGCAGTGATGGTTGCACCATTACTACAGTCACTCGTCGAATAACTACCTACACTGTGGATGTGCCTGGGGGGACTAGTCAGCAGATTGATCACTCAAGCCCTGAGTTCCAAATTCAGGTCTTGCAGCATGAGCAGTCGGAGGGGGATCCTACTCAAATCAGATTACCACATAGAAGCCTTGTTAGTGGTGAACACGGAGGTATAAAAATGGGGGACATATCTCTTAGCGGGCCCCATATCATTGGCTCCTCTGTGAAGCACTGTAGCACAGGATCTTTCAAAACAACAAGTGAATTAGATGGTAGTGGGAAAGAGATTACAATGAATGTGTCAGACACTGGACTGTCAGGTGGAAAAGGACAGAGGGTGATGGAACATTTTGGAAGGACTGAAGCTTCTGCAGGCAGTAGTGATCACTCTGGCAAAGTAACCATGGGGTTAAACAAAGACGTGAAAAATATTTATTCTCCACTGGAAACTGGTTTTAAAGCTTCAAGTATGATGGGAGGAACTGCATTTTCTACATTAAAGGGTCCTGTTCTGGACACTTGTGTTTCAGGTTTTTCCATTAGTGGAGAGACAGGGGACAGAATTGGCAGGGAATCTTTGTCTAAAGTGCATAAGGATGGGTCTGATGATAAAATCAAATTGTCTAAAGTTACCATAGATGTTCAAAGACCCAAGGAAGGTCCAAATGTAGAAGTGAATTTTAACAATCAAAATCTTAAAGATGTTAGTCAGAGAGGTTTGAGCATAACTGGCAATCAGGAAATTTCAGCTCAGGAACCTGATACAGTAGTAAGTCTCCCCAAAGCTGATGTTAAAATCACACCACCAGATATGGACATCAGGGGTCCAGAGCTTAAAATTGAAGGACATAAGGGTATAGTCAAAGATGTCAAATTTGATGTGCCATCAATTACTGGTCAAATAATTTCTATGCCCGATGTGGATTTGAACCTGAAAAGACAAAAAGCGAAAGGAGATGTTAATGTGTCTGTTCCAAATGTTGATGGGAATGTTACAACATCAAAAGTTGAAATTAAAGGACTAGATGTTGAGGGTGTCAAAGGTGACTTAACTGTTCCAAAGGTCAAAATACCCTCATTTGGAATAAAAACTTCAGAAGTGAAGGGTCCTGATGTTGATGTAAATCTTGCGAAAGCCAAAATGGAGATTAAAGCACAAGATGTGGATATCAAGACTCCAGAGCTTAACATTGAGAGATCTGAAGGAAAAGTCAAAGATCCCAAAATCAAAATACCATCAATCTCTGGTCCTAAGATTTCGGTGTCTGACGTGAACTTAAATGTAAAAGGGTCAACACTGAAAGATGACATCAATGTGTCTGCTCCAAAAGTGGAAGGAGATGTTAAGGCACCTAAGATTGAAATTGAAGGCCTAGAACTTCAAGGTGCTGATGGTGGTTTTAAAATACCAAAAATCAAAATGCCTTCATTTGGAATCAAAGCTTCAAAAGTGGAGGGCCCTGATGTTGACGTAAATCTTCCCAAAGCTGACATGGAAATTAAAGCTCCAGATGTGGACACCAAAAATCCAGAGCTTGACATTGAGGGACGTGAGGGAAAAATCAACGGCTCCAAATTCAAAATTGCTATGCCGGATGTTGACCTCAATCTGAAAGGTCCAAAACTGAAAGGTGATGTTGATGTGTCTGTTCCAAAAGGGGAAGGAGATATTAAAGCACCAAAAGTTGAGATTGAATGCCCTGACATAGAAGTACCTGATGGTGGTTTTAAGATGCCAAAGATCAAAATGCCATCATTTGGACTGAGGGGTCCAAAAGTAGACAGTCCAGAAGTAGATGTGAAAATCCCTAAAGCCAATATTGAAGTTAAGGTACCAGATGTGGACATCAAAGTTCCAGAGGTTGACATTGAAGGACCTGAGGGAAAAATCAAGGGCCCCAAATTCAAGATGCCATCAATCTCTGGTACAAAGATTTCTATGCCAGACGTTGACTTCAACCTGAAAGGTCCAAAACTGAAAGGTGATGTTGATGTGTCCGTTCCCAAAGTGGAAGGAGATATTAAAGCACCAAAAGTTGAAATTGAAGGCCCAGACATTGAGGGACCCGAGGGTGGTTTTAAGATGCCAAGAATGAAAATGCCATCATTCGGACTGAAGGGTCCAAAAGTGGAGGGACCAGATGTTGATGTGAAAATCCCTAAAGCCAATATTGAAATTAAGGCACCAGATGTGGACATCAAAGCTCCAGAGGTTGACATTGAAGGACCTGAGGGAAAAATCAAGGGCCCCAAATTCAAGATGCCATCAATCTCTGGTACAAATATTTCTATGCCAGACGTTGACTTCAACCTGAAAGGTCCAAAACTGAAAGGTGATGTTGACGTGTCCGTTCAGAAACTGGAAAGAGATATTAAATCACCAAAAGTTGAGATACAAGGCCCAGATATTGAAGGACCTGATGGTGGTTTTAAGATGCCAAAGTTCAAAATGCCATCATTCGGACTGAAGGGTCCAAAAGTGGAGGG